CTATAGTTACCAGAGGAAATATACTTATGTATCCATATAACAGCGAATGATTTATGTCAACCTAACTAGTGCACATAAATTACAGAAGCACGCATATAACAATCTGACGTAACACATTTGCTCACAAAACTGTGCAAATTGCACTAAAACAATCCGGGAAGTAAACCCATGGGATATATTGTTATTATGAAACCAGTTGGATACTAGACACTGAAAATGCACAGAAAATTTGATCACAAACATCAACTAAACTACAGTTCTAATAGTAAATGATTGGCTACAGCATCCCTATTCGATGGCTAAAGAATAATCAAACATATATAACATACTCCATGATACACTCATTAACAACCTATCATCAGTAAATCATACGCCAAGTACACAACTACACACTACCTGCTTGGACAACACAAAGAAAGGAAGCGGCTATGAGAATGAGGGTTCAACAGAAAGCGTAATCAGACAATCAGCACGACTGGATATATCAAACCGCACCCGATTAGTAGCCCTGGCACCAGTCAATCGCCTGATCTACCTCTCCAGCCACTCACCTGCATGTTGCACTTGACGAGGTCGAGCGGCGTGACGGCCATGTGGGTGAGCCCGCAGCTGGCGATGCCTCCGGCCGTGCAGGCGGCGTAGAACGCTGGCGAATACATCTCGATCTTCTCATTGGGTGCCTGGATCGTGAACGGCAGCGGGGCACCTCCTGCTAGACTCGGGGCAGAGGCCGCCGCGGCGGGGAAGTGGGAGGCGCCTCCGAACGACCTCGCCGCCGCCGGGGAGTAGAGGAAGCTCGGTAGGAGTGACTCGCGGGAGCGGTCAGAGAGCGCCATTGCCGCCGAACTTTGGAGGGTCTGCTCCGCTGGGTCAATCCTCTCGGCGGCGGTGGTGCTCTCTGCGCTCTCGCGTTCACGTGGATTTGGCGATGGGGAACGGGAGAGGAGAGGAGAGGCGGCGGAGTCCAGCAGGTCCCCGATCTATTTCGGCGGCCGCGACGATGCCGATGCAGTTCCCTGTGAAGTGGACCTGGAAGCCTAACTTTTTACTATTTAACCTTTTTTAAAAAAAAAATAGGTAGGGTCCCTGGGAGACTTAAACTCATCTTTGGATCCTGGGAGTCGACGCCATGAGTCCTGACGCCGAGGTAACACGTCTCGGCGCCACAGATCTTGGCGCCGAGGTGCCGGCTGTGCACAGCAGGGAATCCTAGGTGGCGTTGGCGTGGCCGGTACCTCGGCGCCATGTATTCTGGCGTCAAGCATGGATAACCAACGGGAACTTCTCGTCGCCTGCGGCGCTGCGGGCAACCATGGCCAGTGGCCACTCATACATGCTGACAATGACGGAGCAACGTCGGTAATGTGCGGTATTAATAAAAACCATCGCTCTGTGCCGGCCCGTGACTCCCTGTCACTGCAGGAGCAGCGCCATCATATATGGCGCCAGACGGCGTGCGCGTCATATCACCTGTGCAGCGCACGTCTCCTATGCGGCCTACTCCAACCATAGCCCCTCCTAGCGCTGCGCACGTCTCCCTGGGCGCGTCACGAATGCGGGCCATGCATCAGCCCCGGAACAGTGCGCCGCTCGAGCTGCCCGTGGAGGAGCTACTGCCATACTGGTCCGGTCACATCGAGCTTTTGGTGGACCCCATGCGCCTGGAGTCAACGATGCATGCGTCGCCGTGCCCATCTGTCGCTCCACCGGATGGTACAGAGGCGCCCACACCCGCCATCCGCACCTATAGGCGTCGTGTGCGCACGGAACGCGACAGGAACTTGACTGATGCCGAGCGCCGCACGAACCTGAGGAGCACGGTGCGATACCCCAAGGTCGGCCACGTCCATTGATAGCCACAATTACAATATCTTAGTCTGGAACGTGCGGGGATTGAACGCGCGAAGCCTCAGAGACACGTTGTGCACGGTTGTGAACGATGCGTCTGCCTCCATTGTCTGTGTGCAGGAAACTAAGCTCCATGTAATCTCTCCTTTTCTGGTCACCGAAATGCTAGGAAACATGTTCTCGAGTTACGCTTATTTGTCAGTCGAGCGGCGCACTATTCCGGGCTGAGGCATGGTCCGCACTCCTGACGCGCCAGGGGAGACGTGCGCCGTGCTAGGAGGGGCTACGGTTGGAGTAGGCCGCATAGGAGATGTGCGTCGCGCAAGTGATATGACGCGCACGCCGTCTGGCGCCGTATGATGGCGCTGCTCCTGTAGTGACAGGGGGGTTCATGGGCCGGCACAGAGCAATGGTTTTTATTAATACCGCACATTACCGACATTGCTCAGTCACTGTCAGCATGTATGAGTGGCCACTGGCCATGGTTGCCCGCAGCACCGCAGACGACGAGAAGTTCCTGTTAGTTATCCATGCTCGGCGCCATATATTCTGGCGCCGAGTTACCAGCCACGTCAACGCCACCTATGATTCCCTGCTGTGCACGGCCGGCACCTCGGCGCCAAGATCTGTGGCGCCGAGACGTGCTACCTCGGCGTCAGGACTCATGGCGCCGACCCCCATGGTCCAAAGATGAGTTTAAGTCTGCCAAAGGACTAAACGTAATTTTTTTAAAAAAAGGGTCAAACAGTAAAAAATTGGGACCTGGAAGTAGTGCGTGCTTGCTTGACGGATCTCGCGGCACTACGCCTTGTGATTGGCTTTGCGGTTTTTCGTGCAGGTGTTTTGCTTGCAGGAGCCGGTTCCGCAAGGACCGTTCTTAAAAACAGCGGGCTAGTAGAATATTTTATTTAATAAAAAAGTTCAAAAAATGATAAACTAGTTTTTTTATGAAAAACTAATATATATATACACTTTCTTACGATTTATTTATCTATATGTTTATATATTTTCTATATTGGTATATTATATTATTTCATTTTTATCTTTTTTGAGTTCATATGATTTAGAAAGTTGACTCTATCGTTGAGGATGTCCCAAGAGCAAGAATATGTATATTTACAGTCCATCAATCAGCCCACTCATATTTTTTTAACAGTAAGCCCACTTCCTTCTGTCGTAAAGTATTTTTTTTTCTTATGCACAAGCTAGCTATAAGATTACAAGCGCTTTTTTCTCCCCTTCACCTCGGTATAAAACTCATCTAACTCATACTAATCATGAAACTAAGGTATACTAGTTTCTATACTTGCTAATTAATATAGATATTATTTATAAAAAAACTATACTCATAATATATAGTTTCTACAATACTCATAATATATAGTTTCTATAAATAAAATTTTCATCTAATCATCTATCTACTCTTTTCTATCATCTACCTACCTACTGCTAGAAAGCTGTGGAGCCGACAATAGTACGGGTAATGCTTCTAAGGATGAAAACGGTCGGAAACCTCTAAACCGTTTTCTACTTCTACATTTAAATACGAAAACGAAAGCGAAAGCGGTAAAGTCGGACACGAAAATGAACACGAACTTACGGAATATCGAGAATTTCGAAAACGAACTAATTCGAACGGAATTATGTCGAACACGGTCGGTATACGAAAAATCAACACGGAATATTGACCCTAGGACCAAGCGCATAATAATTAACAAGTCCTACAACTTTTTTAAAAGTATATCCATTCGACACCATGTAAAAAAGATATGATTTTTCTAAGGCAACAAGCGCTTGTACGCGATTAATTAATACACCATTGAAACTTTGTTTAATTTTTTGAACATCTTAGAGACCTCAAATGAAAAAAAAACTAAACACTAGAAAGTTGTAGATCTCGTCGAGAGCTACAATTTTCATATAAAAATCATATTCATCCGAGATCGTATGAAAAAGATACAATTTTTCTAAAGCTGTAATGCTAGTGTTAAACCGAATTTCGAATTTGGGATATTCCGAATTAAAAGTAGAAAACGGTCGAAAAAGGGTCTAAACGTTTTTGTTCCGATTTTAAATTTGGTGTTCCGAATTTCAAATCGAATTCGAATTTGTCCAAAAATATGAATTCAATCAGATTAAATGTAGAAAACAATGCGGTTTGGTACATGATATTTCCGTACCGTTTTCTATAAGCAAGGAGTAACCGCCGAAGGGCCTCCATGAGCCCAGGCTGCCTAGGAAAAGGGGGCCCAACTGATGTAGGCTGTGAATCAAGGAGACATACATTTTGTGTCCAGAGGTCCAGGTGATGTAGGTTGTGGATCAAGGATTCAAGGAGACATGTTATTATGTTTTTTTTTCTGTCTCGTTTTTTATACCTAGTTTCCCTTTAAAAAAAAACTTAGCCAAAATTGAAAATATTTGACATAAAGTGAACTATGTTTTAGAACGGAAGTAGTATTTAATGACGAATGGTCTATGTATCAACCCAACTATTGCACGTATAATTATAAAGCATCCATAACAATTTGGGATAACACATTTATCAACATAATTAAGTGGATGATAACCTACCTCTTGCTTGTTCTCTTTTTGAGTCTTGGATGCATTCTAGAAATTGTACTGTCCTGAAAAACTTTCATTGAAACATTTTCTATATCCCATCTCTGTGTGCTACATATATAAACTGAGAATGGAATTTATTTTTTCTTCAAAAAAATCCAGGAAATGAACCCATAAACACAAGACAAGTGAATTAAATTCGGGTAGAATAGAATATAGCATCGGCCACAAGTTTGCGTCACTGCCAGTGCCAACTGCCATGTCAGTATCCCATTCACCGGCGGACCGGCCACTGGCGGGCCTCTCGCAGCTCGCAGTTCGCATGAAGGAAGGAACGTGCAATGCTTTGCTTCAGATTTCGTACAGCACGCCCCGTAAGACAGAATCGTGTTCATCTCTTGGCAAAAGGCATTCCTTCCCGCCAACCCTCTCTATGCCAACCTTGCCGCTGTCCAAATCAAATTGCTGTCCCGTTCCCTTGGAATCCTCTTATACTAGGTCCATGCTCCCATCTCGTGCGCGCCTCCTTCAAGCCACGGCGAGCGGAGCCGGGGTGCGGCGACTACTCCGACTAGCTCTGCTCTCCAACCATGTCCACGGGCGCGGGCGGAGGCGTGCGAGGACGGCGCCGGCGGACGTGGCGCTTGTACTGGTGCTACGTGTGCGGCCGCGCGGTGCGCGCCGTCTCGTACCCGACCTCGGACGTCTTCTGCCCGCGCTGCTTCGGCCGCTTCCTGCACGAGATCGACCTGCCCGCGCCGCGGCCTGTGGTCCCGCCGGCCGACCAGTTCTTCCAGCCGCCGTTCCTCCCGCACGACGGGCCCCGCCGCAGGGTCATATACACCGGCGACGCCAGGGACCCCACGGCCGACGCGGACACGCAGCTCCCTCGCCGCCCCCGGCGCGTCCCGTCCCCGCCGCCAGCGCTGGCGACACGGCGCCCGGACGAGGACTACGGCGTCGACGCGCCACCGCCACCTCCCGTCGTCGGCTGGGACGAGTTCTTCATCGGGCCTAACCTGAACGCGCTCATCGAGCGACTCACGCAGGACGACCGCCCCGGGCTGCCGCCAGCGCCAGAGTCAGCCATCGACTCGCTCCCCACGGCCGACGCGGACACGCCGCTCCCTCGCCGCCCCCGGCGTGTCCCGTCCCCGCCGCCAGCGCTGGCGACACGGCGCCCGGACGAGGACTACGGCGTCGACGCGCCACCGCCACCTCCCGTCGTCGGCTGGGACGAGTTCTTCATCGGGGCTAACCTGAACGCGCTCATCGAGCGACTCACGCAGGACGACCGCCCCGGGCCGCCGCCGGCGCCAGAGTCAGCCATCGACTCGCTCCCCACGGTGCAGGTCTCCCCAGCGCACCTGTTGGACGGCTCGCAGTGCCCCGTGTGCAAGGAGGAGTTCGAGCTCGGGGAGGCCGCGCGGGAGCTGCCGTGCAAGCACGCGTACCACACCGACTGCATCGTGCCGTGGCTCCGGCTCCACAATTCGTGCCCGGTCTGCCGACAGGAGCTGCCGCAGCAGCCGGCGGATGGGGCACAGGATGGCGGCGGCCGCGAAGAAGGAAGTGGCGAGACGGAGGCGCCGGCGCCGGGGCCCGTGGTGATGGCCGGATGGGGCCCCTGGCTTGGCTGCCATTGCCACGCGGGCCGGACGGGGACGGTTGGGTGAGGAATGAAGCGAATGACGGTGACGCTGACGCCGCCGGCGGCGGTGCTTGTGCACCGGCTATCCTTCAGTCTTTTGTCGTCGTCGCTGCTTGCTTTGTCGTCCTCTCGTTCTTTGTTTGAGACTAGTACGAACCGCGCGCAATGGCTGAGTAAACACATGTAGGTTTATATGCAGGTTTTGCATGCTACATATATATGCTGTTGATGTCCATAATAAGTCCATGATGGTGTAGATATATACACACCATGCGTATTGTGCATCTATGTAGGTATACATTACATGTGTTGGTATTGCAAACATTTCATTAGCTGAGATGCCCATAATAAGTCCATGATGATGCAGAAAGGAAGTGTTTCTAGGCATATTGACGCTAAACATATAACACACATATATCTAGCACTTTGTTTCTACATATTTGGACAGGCTATCTCTTTTGTTGCGAGCAGAGAAGATGGGGGATCATAGCGTGCAGAAGCTAATCCTTCCCGTATAACAAAAGCACGAACTGGTTTCCCTTGTTTTTTTGTCTGGAAAAATATGCAAAAAAAAGTTAGGAAACTAATGAACAGAACACATAGGTATACATGGCATGTGTAGAGCAACAAGCTAAAAGCAGGGTAAACAGCGCTACAAATAGTGAGTAATGTTGAGGGAAGTGTTTTTATGGGGCACAAAACTAAAAGTAAGAGGATTTTTTTTTTCGAAAGCGTGCATTGGCACGTGCTTCATTAAGTAGGAGAAAAAGTAAGAGGAATCATTTGAGCCTATGTAAGGTGCAGTAAGAGGAATCATTTTTGTCGGTGGGATCCTTATTTTAAGGTTTGAGGTTAATCCCTACGTCATTTTTCACATTAAGTTATGCCACCTTGTCTTAGCCCCTAACTTATTTTCATTGTATTGAAACTAAACTAGGATTGTATTGGAGCTTTGGAGCTATTGATGGCACACACATAAGAGCATCTGTTCCTAAAGATTTGGAGCATTCGCCGCTGGAATGAATTTTTATGGACATGTTTGATTGCTGAATTTAATTTGTATGGACAAGTTCGCTGCTGGAATGAATTTGTATGGACATGTATTGACATGGCAAAGAACGTTTGCAAAGATAACAAGGCTTAGGAAACTGAGTGCTGCTGGTTGGGATGAAATCAATTCATAATCACTCTTGATGATGAGCACTACAATGGCTATGTTCAGGTATAATTGGCCCAACCTTTCTAAATATGTTGGCTTCTCAGATTTAGCTACTAACTTGTGTTGGCATTATAGGATCACAATGCTGATGCTGAATTCTTAAACAAGCCTCTTGCACACTTTTCTGAGATGCAAACAATCTTTGGAAACAGCATGGCTACAGGAAGGTTCGCCGAGGATTCGAATTCTGCATTAGGTACAGAAGATGCTAATAATGAAAATGAAGACATGGCTGCAAATGTCGGGGGTGAGATGAATGGACAAGGTGGGAGTGAGATGAATGCAAATGGTGAGAGTGATGCCACTACATTGCCTACTAATCATGGGGCTACTTCATCGGGCAGCAAGACAAAGAAAGCAAAAGTTAGTGTAGATGAAGAAGAGGGACTGATTGCTGCGATCAATCGTGTTGGTGACAGACTTGTAGTTGCAGAAGCTATAGAAAAGGCCACTGCTCCACCCCCGCCAGCCCCCAGCAATGAATTACCAGAAGATCTATTTGATATGTTGGTTGGCCTTCCAGGTTTTGAGGCCACACACATATCTGTGTACTTCCAACATCTGGTGGCCAACCCAGGCATTGGAAGGCATTCTACAAGCTTCCATTTGATCATAAGTTAATTTGGGCTGCTTTGTTCGTTGCTGAGAGGTTCCCAGGACAGTAAAATGGTGACTGTAATGGTTCTTTTGCTTGCGACCAATGGAACAATTTAGGTGTGGTTTAACTAAGTCGGAGGCATGAACTTTATATTATGTCATAGCCTTGAACCTTGTAGTATGTGTTAGCTGTTATGCATAAGGCTTTCAGCTAGCTGTTATTATGTACAAAAGCCTGCAATCTGTACTGTTTGAAAACTAGAACTTGACGTTAGCTGTAAGCATGTCACATGCTAATATTTGTGAGGCATGAACTTTAAAATTACAGTAAGCCTCACACTTGCATTTTACATATGAATTTGCCATTTATTATATACATGTGATGTGATGATTATTTTCAATGACAATACCCGTACATGTACCCAAAAGTTCACTAATCACGTGTACATATGTACCAGGAGTTCACTAATCAGGTGTGAGTACAAATAGATAGTGGTAACTTTACCTATGTTGTGAGGGAGGTAACCCCATACAGATGTCATGTCTCTATCCCTTCATCCAAACAAGAGTGAGGACCATCCCATCCCATTTTGTCCCTCAAACCAAACAAAAAACAGGGTCCATCTCATCTCTTCAACCAAACAGAAAATGAAACTACCCCATCCCACGAACTAGAGTCAGGACCATCCCATTCTACCTTAACTCCGAACCAAACACAACCTTAGAGAGCAAAAAACGGAGTTGTACAGGCGATCTATGATGCAACAAAGTGGAGGCATGTCAAAAAGTAACATGCATATGATGGAGCATGTAGGGAATTGTCTTATTTAGCCCAAAAAAATTTAAGCAATCTGCGTAGAGAGAAACGGAGAAGGAAATGCTATAATAGATTGTACAACAGCAGAGGAAGACAAACATTTTAGTTTATATAAGTAATGCTGATTATATAATAAGAAGCAGAGCCAGGGGGGTCTGTATCAAGGAGGTAGATCTGTCTGAACCTGGGGCATTTGCAGTGCTGTTGTTAGCGTTCGTTTCGTCCACTGCTCTTTTGTTCCTGTTTGGAGTCTTCTGTCTTTGACCTGTACATATACATAATACAAAAATCTAATATTATTGGATTGATGTAGGTGTAGCAGCCTAGCAGGGCTGTTCTTGAGCTCTGTATGCAAACCTACTTCTTGGCCATGGAGTTGGCTAATGAGGCAGCCTTTTTTTTTGGGCGGTGTCCAGTCTTGTTTCTGTTGGTTTCTTCACTACTTGTTTGTTCCTGTATGTTGAGAAACAAATGTGTACATATGTTAATACTGGCCAGGTAGCCCAGGGAATGAACAAGCTGCGGCAAACCTGAGCACTTGAATACAAATGTTTGTGCATTGATTTACAAAGTACCGAATGATGGCACCAAACAATTGTTGCATGCGTACCTATTCATCGGTGTTGCTATCCTGGAATAGCTGCCTGTGAACAGACTGTTTTTGTGTAGGACGCCTGTTAACAGTAAGACGGTGAGGTCTGTCAGTGATATGGATTGGCAAACACAACGCGAGTGTCTGAACTGTGATGATCATGTGCACCGGTATTGGATGGTAATCCAACTCACTCAGTGAAAGTGTGTTCCTGCAGTGTCTGATGAAGCTCGAAACCCGAAGGAGGTGTCTACAGTGGGAATATAAGGGAAATTTTGTTAGTTTATTTGGTTGGTCCAGATTACCCAAATGTAAAGGTAGCAATATAGAAATAAATATAAGTACAGGGCATTCAAGCTGCTTACCGGAATATTAACTGGGTTCATAATATCAGCGATAAGACCACTGTTCATCCCATGACACATTATGCGTGGTGCCGCCTATAGTCAGCCTGTTCGGCAGCCTGTATTCGGTTTATAAGCCTTGGCTTATCAACCAACGAACAATATTTTTCTCACACCAAACCAGCCAGTAGTACTTTCAGCCATGGCTTATAAGCCAATCCAATCGAAACGAACAGGCTGAGTAAGCGGCGCCGGTGTTTCTGTAGATGTAAGAGAAGCGAACACCTCTTTGTAAACAACATTTTTTGTTTCATTTGTACAGGCACCATTTTCATCCTCTATTAAAAGTTTAAGCCCCTGTCTTGAAGTAACACGAGAGACGGCAACATACAACTGGCCATGGGTGAAAACCGGCTTCTTAAGGTAGACACTAACAGTAGAAAGAGTTTGGCCTTGGCTTTTGTTAATAGTCATAGCATAACATACTTTTATTGGATATTGACGCCTCTCAAGAACAAATGGCCACTTTGTATTTTTTAGAGTCAAAGAAATCCGAGGTATAAGGACATTTTCGCCTGCATGAGTTCCAGTCATGATTTTTGCCTCTATGATCTTGTCTCCTAGGGCTGTAATGGTAAGCCTTGTACCATTGCACAGACCATCAGACTGGTTCAAGTTACGCAGTAACATCACTGGTACACCCTTTTTCAGAAGTAATCTGTGGGGTGGGAAATAGTTTCCATTTAAGGAATTCAAGAATTCAACAGGATATAATAAATCATAAGATTTGTGGCCACCTGTGGACTTTGATATGCTATCAGCACTGAGGTACTCTTCTTGTGTCTCTGGTAATAAAGACACAATGTGGTCATTGACTGCCGCTGCTACATCATTTGTAGGTGTTAAAATAGCTCGCTCTCTAAGATACGCTTCGTTCCGATAATGTATCTGCAAATCTGGGTAAATAGAATCAACTATGCAAGATAACTTATCATCTTCAGTCATAAGAAGTAAATCATCTGGTATCCTAATCCATGAAGCTTCAGTTTCCCCTTCCTTTGCCACAGCCTCTATATTGCCTTCACCGACATCTAATATCCATTTGCTAAAATCAGCTAAATCTTTCTGGGCATCTAAACCTTCGCTCGATGATGACAGACGCATATTCTCTGTTAAGTGCAGAACTGTAACAGCGGACCAGAGACTGGAGTTAACTATAGCCGAATTTACAATTTCTGCTTGACTCCCACCTTCAATAACAGGTAGTATCTGCCATCACCACCGAGCACTACAACCTTTCCACCAAACGGTACAGCAGCAGCATCTGGGAAATGAGTAGACTGCACATCACGAAGAGTCCTATCCAAAGCTTCAAAAGCTCTTCTATTAGTCATTAGAGCTTCATCCCATATTATCAGTGATGTTGCCTCTATTAGCTCTGCCAGCATGGACCCTCTTTTAATGTCACAAACTGTAGCATCGTCTAGATCACACGGAATTTTGAAATGGGAATGAGCTGTGCGCCCCCCCCGGCAGCAGCAGAGAAGCTATTCCCGAAGAGGCAACAGTAAGAACAATCTTTTTTAGCGCTCTTAGATGGGTGACTATACATGTCCATAGATAGGTCTTTCCTGTGCCTCCATAACCAGAGACAAAGAAAAAACCGGACTTATTGTTGTGCACCCTGTCAATTATACAGTTGAAGGCCCGAAGTTGGTCAGAATTCAGAGTGGATGACAGGCTGGTCTCATGCAACAACTGAACAGAATGGTATGACAGCTCTTCGTCAATGAGATGGTTCGTAGATAAAGAATAACTGGAGCTGGTTTTTTGTGGCAGGTTGAAGTCACGAATGCTAGAACCACTTTTGGCAAATATTGTTGACAATTCATCGAGCAAGTAGTCTCTAATATGACTGTCAAGCATCTGGTAATTCTTGTGACCTACTATATCCCTAAACTGATATTGAATGTCATCAGCCAAGAGGCGCCAGACTTTTTCAAAGAAGGCATATTCATCTCCAACTTCACAAAAAAGGATCATAGTCACAAATAGCTTCTGCAGCTGTGCTGACGTAGCCCCAGCCGCAGCCTCATCAAAAGCATTGTACCACTCCTGATCATCGCCAAGGAGGCCACGAGATCTACAGGCCTCTTTAAATGTAGGATGTTGAATACCGTTGTGATATCTAAGGTCTGTGAAACTGAGTGCTCCTTTGACCACCAGCAGGAGCATCCTAAGGTAAAAACGTTCCCCTGCAGAGGGGTGCACATAACGTAGGCGGCCTATTTTGGGGGTGGTGGCAACGTTTTTCCCATGACCTTGATTTTGCTTCCCATCTCCATTTAGAAGGGAACTGACAGTAAGTAAGCTCTCTAGCCTCAGGATGTAGTTGGTTAGCTATGAACCATTCAGTAAGCATTGTTTTGCGTAAAAATTCCTGTGACAGAACCATATCCATCTTGGCCTTGGCACTAAACGTGATGAAGTTGTCGTTGGGCAAATGAACGGGCATCCTCTCAACAGAAGGATAGTGCCTGTGAACGTCGAATTCAAATACACGCCAACACGCGTCTTGCTCACAGATGTAGCGACAATCTAAGTACTCCTTTATTTCATTGACAGTTTCAGTTTCCTTGTCATATGGAGTATCTTCCGCGTTCCTAACTTTTTGGAGGTACACTTTGCTACAACCTGCACCTTTGGTCACATATTTGAAGAGGTAATTTACGAAGGTTGTTTTGTTGCACCATTCAACATTGATGTGAGCCTGGTATTTTTTCAGCAACGAAATGTTGTGTGGAACAACCCACTTATTATCCAGCTGGAGGCCTCCTTTGTCGATGTATAAATCGTTTTGGCAACGCTTGTATATAGCAAAGCCGTCCGCATCGACGCATGTTTCTTCTTGGTAGCGTTTTGGGAAAAACTTGGAACATTTTCCATTCTTCATACAGGGACAGCTAACGTTGTATTTTCCACATGGGCCATGAACCATGTGTTCGGACACAAGAGCATAGCCCAGTGGATCAATCTTTGGGTCAGGTATCTGGGCGCTCACAAAAGAATCAATTAATGTTGGAGTCAGCTGCGATGTATCAGTGGAGGTCCATAAAATGATATGTCCATGTGGAAGGCCACGTTTTTGGAATTCAACAGTACGGAGAACTGTAAATTGAAGAAGGCAGTCAAGATCCACAGAAGCATGAAAACAGCATGACTGGATGAACAAGGAATAGATAGGCCTGTCATTACTGAACAATTTGCATGTAGAGTTTCATGACAATACCTGCATCGCACGGACCAAAAGCGTGTCCTTTTCGTATATCATCTAAGAGTTCTTCAAGCTTCATATTAAAGACTCTAACAATAATATCGGCTCTATCAGTTGGTCTCTGCCCTGCTTCAAGGATACCTTCAGCAATTTCTAGCCATTTAGGATTGCACGTAAAAGTGACAAAGAAATCGGGTGGGCCATACTCTCTGCATATAGCTATTGCATCATGATAATTCTGAATCATGTAGCGCTGACCACCTGTGAATGATGGAGGCAGCACAGTCAGCTTGCCCATTTCATTGCCATCTATGCAACCACAGTTAACAGCATCGGATATACCTTGGATGCTTTCCATACGGATATCCTTTTGGTTATCAGTATGTACCATAGCCTGCTTTCGTCGATACATGCCCGAGCTGGAACCCACGCTCACCAAATGGGAATAACAAGGGATACTGTAAGGCCATGAAAGCAGGATGGAGAGCAGATATTTGTTTAAGCTCACCGGACCGTGTTTCTATGATTATGTCACGCTGAAACGTGTCTAAGGAGAAATCCCCCACAACAAGCATAGCAAGCTGATCGGTAGTCGGCAAGTTATACTGAACTGGATCTCCCTCTCTGGCTCCTACATTTCTGATTATCAATTCTTGGTCACCATAATCTTGCAGCCTGTCTCTTGCAATCCTAAGCTGCCTGGCAAAAGGATTATGTCCATCAAGCATGTGCATAAGGGACTGGACTATAGATGGATCTAAGTTTGCCTGGGATGCCTCTTCTCGGTTTAACAATCTGTTTGCCTGGGATGCCTCTTCTCGGTTTAACGATCTTATCCTATTGTTGATTTCATTAGACGTGTCGTATATATATAGCTGTAAGAACTTTGGAGGCCTGCCGTCTGGTGGGAGCAAAGAGCCAATACGATGATGAATCTGACCGCATATCTTGAACACGGGAGGACCATGTCCATCATTCATTGAACGGTCTATGTTTGCTCCCATCGATGTGAAAGCAAAGAGGCAATTATACTGCCTAATGTTTCTCATGAATTCGTTGGACCTTGCATCGCCATCAAACCTTGCCAATTAGGTCAAAGGTTCTGGGCGTGGTAGAAACGGTGGTATGGAGACTTTCCCGCCTTTACAGCAACCGTTATAAACCACCTTTCTTGCACGGTATGATGATTCACGCTTAACCCTTTCGCTGTACCAGAAGACAGCATGGCAGTAGGGGAATTGCAAATCCGGTGAGCCATGGTATGATCTTACTGGATATGATGCTGCAGACATGGAAAAGGTGTCAGGATGTAAACTATGCTGTGCTAACAAGAATGCAGTGCCCGAAAAGCAGGAAACACTGGGTTTCGTTTCATAGACTGGGAAAGGCTTACGGAAACCAAGGAAAGTATACCTTTTAGTGCTTCTATGAAGGGCTCGTCGAAATGTCCGCATCTGGAATCTATCGAACCAGCGGCAGAATTTCCTGATTGCGACGTGAAGAACGCAGACAAGCAACATACAGCCTCTTTTATGTCCTAGTATAGAAGATCCTGCCTCAGGCGCCGACACCGACACCGAAGCAGCTGTAAGCAGTCCGCATCTGGAATCTATCGAACCAGCGGCAGAATTTCCTGATTGTATAGCTACATCAGCAAGTAGAGGAGATAGGTGGAAGGCAAAAGAAAAGGGCCACGGAATAGAAAAGCCGCCAACAGCTATGCCATGTAGCACGCATAGATAAGGGCCAACTTAACAATCTAGTACCTCTTTGAGCCAAGCAACACTGATTTAATTTTTGTTTCCGTTTCCGGCGACATCCAGTAGCATGAGGAGTGGAAACAACATGGCGGGCAGGGACATCTGGCACGAGAATGGATGAGATAAGAAGAGAATAGAGGCAGTCTAAAACAGAGATTGCAACGTGAAGAACGCAGACAAGCAACATACAGCCTCTTTTATGTCCTAGTATAGAAGAGGCTGCCTCAGGCGCCGACACCGACACCAAAGCAGCTGTAAGCAGATTGTATTTGACAACAGTCATGCACATACATACAACATGCATAAGGAAAAAGGGGATTCCATCAAATAAACAAGGCTGTAAAAAATGGCAGGCAAAAGCAGAAGCTTTTTTGGTACCACGTACATGATCCCGACGTATCTCCCTGAATAGTTGCATCCATGAGGGCGCAAGAGCTCACTGCTGTGGACATTTATGACGCAATACAAACAAGGAGACAAGAGAGAGGAAAGGCCCCAAACAAAAGCACAGATACAGTAATGTAAAGGGAGATTGTCACCGCGTTCGGCTGGTAGGTGGAACAGTAGATTTTGGATTATTTCGGATGATTCAATAGTGTTCTGTGAGAGAGAATAAACTGAAACAAGCTGAAACAAGCAGGAAGTAGTACAGCCGAACGCGGTGACATGTGTTGGAAAACAAGGCAGGTGTGCAGCTTTTTTTTTTTTTGTGTGTGATCGGCGCAGCATAATTTTGCCGTGAAATCCCGCAAACAATAACAAATAGCACACAAGCAACAGGCTGAACATAGCAAACCTCAGAAAGGATCGCTAATACAGTCAATCTCCTGCAGCAACTCCTCTGCTGAGGTAAGCATGGTTAAACTATTTGGTAACCCATACTGCGAAGCTGTAACAACCATGCGCGAAATGTGTGCGCCTCTACTGGCAACCGAAAACAGGCGCCTCATAAGCTGCCTGCACAGAACCAATTCTCGGGAACTATAGTCTACTATGGTGAAACCATATATAGCCTGTAGACAACTGAGTGCCTGAAAAGAAGCATCTTCATTGGTGGCAGAGCAACCGAGATGTGAACCTGACCAAAAAATAAAGCCGGCGTGGCACACGTTGTGGAGACAATGAAGGCAGGTCAACCTCAATGCCATATAGGTCAGTACCGTCGTCGGGGACCTCATGTATGAGCGAAACATATGGAAGCTGACAACGCTGTACCACTACTCGCAGAATGGATAGATAAGACACATGAACAACAAACATTGCTGAGAAGCTGAGCACACAGTAACTATAGAACCTGGCACAGAAAATAAAATAACAAGCCCCAAAAGGCACCTAGAAAGCAAAGGATGCGAGCTTATATATGGTAGCAAGTAACAGAAAGGCACAGGTAAAAAATAGCCCGAAGGCAATACGAAACAAAGACGAAAAGGGAGGGGAAAAGATGGTTTTCTGTTTTTTTTTAAAGGAACAAAAGGGGAAACTAATAAAATGAGTCCGTTAGTATCTTCTGCTACACAAATAACTAAGAAGATAGAACATGTAATGTGCACAATGAAGTAATAAGAGCACACAATAAGAGTACAAAACATTACCTGGAGATCACCGTGCCGTAAGAGGGGAGATGTTGTCGCAACAGTTCACCAGCAAGAAGAGGACCCAGCAATGGAAGCGGTACGAATCACCCAGCAATGTATATCTGACAGGGAACGGCACAAACAAACAGTGCCAAAACTGCGTGAGGCTAACCCAAAATGCAGATAACAAGGAGGAGGAATGAATAGGCTCACAGCAGCATTTGTAAGGAACAAAAGGAAACAAAGCAACATAGGCACGTTAAATGTCTTATTTGGGTGGATAACTGACAGAGTGGCCGTGATGGCTTCAATACAAAGTGCATATAAGAACACAAAATAGCACCTGGATACAAAAGCACGTTAAGAGCAGCTAGTCTGAGCATGAAGACGAAAAGGATAAAAAAATAGGTGTTCTACTGTCTTGTATTTATTAAGGAACAAAAGAAAAAAAAAAGGTTAAATGAATCCATCGGTATGTCCTGGTACACAAACAATTAGGAAGATAGAACATATGTTGCACACAACGAAGTCAGAAGAGGACACAACAATATCAAAGGCTGAAACATTAGATGCATACAAGACTGCGGAACATTACCTCTAGCCCACTGCGCCGTAAGAACAGTGATGTCGTTGCAACAGTTCACCAGCACAAAGAGGAGGCAACAGACATGGACCATGCCAAGCATAAACACATCTGCAGGAAGATGAGCTAAACTGGTAAAAACAAAATAGTTGGGGAGGCAATGATCCACACGCGTAGCGGAAGCAACCATGAACCCGAACATAGCACAATGATTCTAGAAAGTACATAGTTTTAGCATTGGCTGAAAAAGAGCATAGCATCAACGAGCATATCCACTAGAAGGACTAAGCAGTCTAAAACGAGCAGCTGACCAAAAGGAGCAGCCAACGGAGCAGAAGAGCTAAAATTAACAGACTGCGTGGTGGCAGAAAGGACTAAGCAGTCTATAACAGCACAACGATTGTGAAAACTACATAGATGCAGCATTGACTGAAAGAAGCATGACGTGCATGAGTATATTCACCAGAAAAACTAAGCAGTCCAAAATGAGCAGGCGAGCAAAAGGAACTGCCAATGGAGCATAAACCTAATGGTAACACACCGCACGCTTTTGTACAATGAACAGGCTACAAATGCATACTTTTACGCCATACAATTTCCTAAGAAAAGATAGATCGTCCACAATGTTGCTGCAGACAACATAGAAGTAACTAAAGAAATTTACAGGGCCATGTCTTTGGGAAAAGAAATTCAGGAGTGTATTTGACGTAGCTGCTCGAGGAAGTCTTAAAGATTGTGAAGCACCAAAAGAGGAATGTACTGATGGCTGGCAGGTAGTGACCCTACTCATGCACTGATGCTCCAAAACCACCATGGAGCCGTACAAGAGGTGTGTCTATAGGTCATAGGCGCGAAGGTTGTTAGCGTGTGAATTGAGTTTTTATACCTGCCGGTGTTTGAGGACCATGCTTTCCCTGTTTGCTTGGAGCTGGTGTTGGCGGCAGTATATCTGAAGAGCTAAAGAGTCGGTAAAAGAAAAAAAAAATAGAAGAACTGCACGACGGATAAGATACAAACGGTTAAAAATTGGTGTGATGACGGGATAATGGATAAAATTGATGTGATGGAGAGAGTGAAAAAACTTGCAATTTTGAGGGTATCTAAACAAACAAGGCCAGAGTCGGTAAAAGAAAAAAAAAATAGAAGAACTGCACGACGGATAAGATAAGACGGGATAATGGGATATGGAGGACCTGGGGGAGCAGCGACGGGACGGAGGAGGAGGACAAGGGCGCGAGCTGCTGCCAGATCCAGGCGCCCAGTTGAGCCGCCGTCGCCGACGGAAGGGAAGAGGCGATGCGCCGCGGGCAAGGGCAGCCAGCACCGAGCGCCGCCGCCGACGGAGAGGAAGAAGCGATGAGCCTGGCCAGTGCTGGGGCGGCCGCGCCGACGGGGGCCGGCCGGTCGATGCGGGCGGGGCGGAGGAAACAAGGGGCGTATTGGTAGGCTGCTGGATGAGATGAGAGCTCGGCCAGGCTCGCGGGCTGCATTGTGCCGGTGTTTGGTAGGCTGAACGGCGTCACGGGCCAGGCCAACACGCTCCTCGAGGCAGCAAAGATGCTGCATGCGGAGACCCCGTTTTGTGGTGGACGATTCAATCACCGCCCGTGACCCCGTGTTGTTTTTTTCTCCTTCGCAGGAGCTTATCCATCGATGCAGGATGCAACCTTGACATTGACATGGATCTCTGGCGGTAACCGCACGGCGGGGCGCGGCCGCTCTTTGCACCGGCGGAGGTCCAGCCCGAGCGCGTCCGACACGTCCTCGGAGCTCCATCCGGCCCGCCGGAGCGAGTCGGAGCACCGGTCGGCCTTGAGCAGCAGCGCGTCGAGCACCGCGTCGGAGTTCACCGCGGGGGACGCCACCTCCTCGTCGTCGAACATTCCGGAATCCGGAGGTCGCAACCTCGTCCATGTCGGTCACCTCTGTGTCCCTCCACCCGCCCTGCCTCAGCACGTGGGCGCTGTGGGCTGTGGCCGCACTGCTGGGGGCCACGCCCCACCGACCCCGACCGCGCGGTCCGCTATCTGCCGCGCGTCGCTGGTCGTGCCGCTATGGTGGCGCCGTCGCAGCACGCCAGCGAGGCAGCCACCACGCCGTGCACGCGCCATCGGCCGATGTACTCGGTCGTCGTAGCAGCAGCGGCGTCCTCAGCAGCAGCAACAACGCTAACGTCCTCGGCGCGCACCCGCCAGAGCCCCGCGGCGGCGGCGTAGCGCGCGGACGTGACGGCCTGGTTGAACCGCGGCTGGACGCCCGCGCGTTCCGCGTAGGCGTTGAGGTAGTTCGACGAACTGGCGCTTGGTGGGGTACTCCGGGTAGTGGTCGGGGAAGGGCATCCCGGGGAGCTCGCAGAACTGGCGCGGCAGGTGCAGGCGCAGGCGGTCGTAGGTGCGGCGCTGCCACAGGGACGCGATGCAGTCGGCGCGGTCCAGCACGACGCAGGGCACCCCGCGCGCCCGCAGGCTCAAGGCTCGCATGGCGGCGTTGGGGAGTATCTTGTTGAGGTCGTTGCTGCTGGACGCCATCTTGACGAGGCCCCCGCCATGGCAGCGTCATGCGCGCGGCGTCAAGCATGGCAAGCTTGCACGCAGTATCGCAAGATGCGTGCGAAGCTTGTTTCTACTTGTTTAAGTCGATTTGTACAAGACGTTCATGTCCCTTACGCGGTTTGTGCTCACAAGTATATATAAAAGTAGCCAGTCCCCCCGCGCGTTGCGCGGAGTGTTGAACGGGAATAGCATTTGCTGGTTATATTCCAGTGTTGCTTGCAGATTACTAATATGTAGTATTCCCACAATCCAAGCTAGAACACTAAATATATTGAGCAGCTTCTTGAGCAGTTTTTGCTCAAGCACCTGCAGATTCAAAATGATGGGCCAAAAGCCACCCATGAACTGTCGGCTTACATCAGAAACCATCGGAGAAAGTGGCTTCCCTGCTCATCTCCATCCCAAACAGTAAAAAAGTTGCATGTGCCCTTGACTATTCACCAAAATTGGAGGGCATCGCTGGCTCATATATAAATTAGGAAGAAATAAATAGAAGAAAAGGATGGGGAAGGAAAGATAAAAGAAGAAAAAAAAGGAAGAAAAAGATAGAATCAGGGAAAACATGAAGAAAAAATGGTATATCTACTAATTTCATTCCTCATATATAAATTATATTATCAACTACAATCACACATAAAACTCATATATGCAACCACTATACATATGCAAGGGCACAATGGACTATACATATGTAAGGGCATAATGGATAATTGACATTTTCTATACATTCTAAAAAGCTAGGAGAAGCCATTTTGCCAAACGTTTTCGTACAAAATAAGCCAGAGTCAGAAAAAGTTGCTTTTCCATACGAGCCAGAGCCAAAGCTGTTTTTTCACGAGCCGGAGCCATGCCAAACGGGCCCTAAATATATGTTGCACCTGCTGTTGGAAATGGAAACTGTTTGGCGATGATGTCCCATGGAGTGGAGGGCATGCTGGCATGATCCATTTTTTGTGCAAACCACAGGAAGGCAGAAGAGTAAACATATCAGCTTCATCGAAGTAAGATGTCATGTATTTAGGGAACTGCAGGTGCAACATATATTGGTTTTCTTATTTGGTGTTCAAAATGTAGTGAGCAGAGGGATCCACAGAATCAGCGCTCTGCAAGTACCAAATGTAGTATTTCCACAGTATTGCTTACAGAGAAGGATGTGGAAGTGAATAATTGCTTTGCACTAAACATTGCAAAAGCTAAAGTGCCTGTAACAATATTATTCGGATACATCCACGACAGTAATAAAGTTGGAGACCATATTATAGCATCGCTTGCACACCATCTCTCTTGGCACTTGTAGGCACTCCATCGACCATGCCGCAAACAAATTTCATGCTGCATTGCTATTTTAAAAGCTGCAACACCATTAAACCTGAGAGACCGATGTGAATTAGTCGCGGACGACAAATTGTTAGCAGGTCTATGGCGAAAAGCATATGGCCAGATTTTTTCTGCGAAACCAAATTACCAAATGGGTGTGAGGTAAAGAAGAATATTAGTGAGCAGAGGGATACATTTAGTTTCATGTGCTTTAGACAATTTGGTCGTCCATGTAATATAGGCGAAGCATATAAATTCAATTCCGCTAGGTGATCTGTGAACCACCACGTTATATTATATAAGCTACATTTTAGGTGGACAGCTGATGAGTACACGCAGATTTTTATATTGTACAGCAAACTGAATTTTTTACCCTCCAATATAGTTGCAGGAAGTGTAAATCATTGATTGTGAAATGTTTTCCTGAATATTGGGTTACAGATGTATATCATTCTTGCGGCAGGAAGTGATAGCAATTAAATGAAGGTTTGTTTGCTATCATAAATACGAATGAACCTATCACCTCATAATCACCTGATGATGAAATATGTTGGCATGCCATGGAAAATGGCTGGTACTTGTATTTGTTGGTACATTGAGGAAATGGAAATTCTTTCTGTGTAGCATATTGGTTCTATTAAAAACAGGGATAACATAAGCTACGACCAAATTAGGGGCACACTACTTCAGCCAATGGCCCCGTTCGTTAGTCTGAAACTTGGCTAAAACTGGTTGAAAAACACTGTTCCGGCTGAATTGTTGTGACAGAAAAACATTGTTCCGGCTGAAAAAAGAAGCCGAACAAGCCGAATATTGAGTGATGCATTTTATGTTGCAGGGAAGTGACGCTTATTTGACTGCAAAGCAATAACATAGAGAGCACACATGAAACAGAATCAGTCTGAGCAAAGCACTAATGCATATATGACTATATCATTCACGCAATTATCAGTAATCAGGTATAGATCTTGTGGAGCATCGTAGGACTATTCATTGTAAGCATGGAGCACATATTCAGGGTCACAGCTGTATATGGTAAGCCAAGGATGCTGAAAACAATTCAGCTATACATATTTCAGAGACGCAGTGAGAATTGGAGATTGTAAAAAGGGTTAATTGGATCTATGCCATTATAATTCTTTCGTTTTTGAAGCGCACCATTACTATTCGACAAACTACGCCAGTGCCATTATAATTCCGCGCTTGTTTGAGGCACGCCACTATCTATGCCCGAAAGCGTCTTGGGGCCACTTTCAGGCGTATCAGACTGAGACGTATTTTTGTATGGACTCTTTTGCCCTCCCCCGAAAGGATAAGGCCGCCGACGCCCGCGTCCTCTGTCCATTCGCTGTCCCCGTTCCCCACTCGCTTCCCCAATCCCTAACCCTAGAACACCAGCGGCGCAAATCTTGTTCACCGGCGACGGCGAGGCGCTTTGCGGCGGTGCACTTGGTCTCCGGCGGAGACTAGGCGGAGTGGGCATCCTCCATCCATGAAGGTCGACATCGCTGAGGCGCCGGTCCAGTAGTGTTGTAGTGGCCATGAAGATCGGCGACATCCCGCCTACGCATTCTGTGGCGGCGCTGGAAGACGCCGACCTTGGATCTAGGTATGCTCTCTCTTAGTAGAACGCTAACTCGTGGTTGAAGTTGCTGTGGGCTAACTTAGGACGATTATGCAGTATAAGTTGTTGGGGTTTTCCGCTCATGCTTGTTTCAATTCAGCTTTGACTGCTTTTCTTCTCATTTCTGTTGTGCTAGGATGTCTATGTTTTCGTTAGAGATGAAAGTTGAAGCCTTTATGACGAAAGACAGTGATGAGAAAAATCATACTGTAAGGGAAATGTTGTTAACTGGGCTGTGGAGGTAGGCACGATTACATTTGATTTGCTGCTTTCTAGCCTGTCCAGTGTGGTCAGTTGGAGCTCTAACCAGAAGGCCACAGTTTGGTTCTTTGACAAGATTGTTGGTGAGGATGTAATGCTTGTAGATGAAGTGCAGTTCCAAAACTTGTTTGAAATGTATAAGTTAGAGATGCATTGCCAAGTGCTCTTAGTTGTAGTGGATAATACTGTGTGGGAACAGCATGAGTTTGATGATTTAGAACCCCCGTGTGTGATTCCACCTGACACAGATGCATCAAATAAGCCTGTCTGTACACAAATACAACCAGACCTACCGCATCTTATTGATCCAGAACCACAACTTGATCCACCAATGCATCATGAACCACCACAACCTCATGATCCAGAACCATAGCCTCATCCAACAATGCCTACTAGTACAGAGCGTAAACAATCCAAAGGTGTTGAAGAAGTCCCTGACATCTTTGACAATGAAGAAGAGTATGTTGGTGTCAATGATGAGCATATGTACATTTCAATTCCACTTGTACAACCATCTATGAATGCTACTGCTGATTCATCTATGCCTACTAATGATGCCAATGAAAATGCTGCTGCTGAAGGGGCTATACCTCCTGAGGCAAAGGTTACTGATGCAGATCCTGATGAGATAAGGGTCCTCCATGATCATGAGAACCCAAGAATAGAGAAGGTTGCCTTGTTTCCTGACATAATAGCATTCAAGAAAGCTGTGAAGCACCATGTTGTGAAGATAGGATTTGAGTTTGCTCGTGGCATCAAGACTGACCCTACCAGGTTTATTGCAAAGTGTAAACACCCTGGTTGTCCTTGGTGCATTCATGCTTCAAGGATTCATGATTAGAAAACTATACATGTACATACTACTTGTAGCTACTTGCTCCTTTTGTATTAATTCAGTTTGGATGTGCATACTACTTATTCATGCTTGCCTTGTCCAGATTAAGGTTCTACCAGCAGAGCACAATTGTCCAACCATGAAGCTTGTTGAAAACAAAATGGCTTCTCAAAGCTAGGTGGCAGATAGACTGATAGACTGGTTGAAGAAGAATCCAAGCAAGGGGCCGAAGGCAGCAAAGGAGAAGGTTGAGGGAGATTATGGAATAAAGCTCAAGTACATCAAGGCATATTTAGGCATGTAGTTGGCACTGCAGCAAATTCATGGTAAATATTCAGAGTCATTCAAAATGCTATTTAATTGGAAAGCTCAGATGGAGATAACTTGTCCTAGTAGCATTGTAGAGATAGATGTGCAGAAAGTAGACAAGAAAAGAAGATTTAAGAGGATATGTGTAGCTCTCAAACCATGTGTGGATGGGTTTCTAGCTGGCTGTAGGCCATTCATTGGTGTAGATGCATCTAGTCTGACTGGTAAATACACTAGACAGTTGGCATCTGCTACAGGAGTTGATGGACATAACTGGTTGTATTACATTGCATATGCAATTTTTTATTGTGAAAATGAGGACAATTGGAAGTGGTTTAAGCAACAGTTGAGAAGAGCTGTTGGGAGCCCTCATGGTCTAGTGATCTGCACAGATGCATATAAGGGCTTGGAGAAGGCAGCGGGTGTTGTGTTTCCTGAGGCTGAGTACAGAGAGTTCATGAGACATCTCTATTCCAACTTCATGAAGCATTACACTAGAGATGTTTTCACAACTCATCTGTACCCAGCTGCTAGGAGCTACACTGAAGGGTTGTTCAGGTGGCACATGAAGAAGATACATGACTTTGCTCCAAATGCAATTCAATACTTGCAGGATCACCACAATAGGAT